GGATTGGCGGCAGGACGCGACATCCCCCAAGGCGAGCATACTCCACCAGCCAAAAACCTGCCATTCACCGCGGAATGGGGATGAACCAACATTTGGCAATCCCCATTTTTGACCAGAGAGGGCGGAGAGCGAAGAGTCAGAGTCACAGATAGTCTAAGGGGGGAGGTGGGTGAAGGGGTGGGCCGGGTGGTAAATCCTCTGGCATCTCAACTTCTCAAGCCTCCAAGCCTCCGCATGAAGAGCCACCGAGAGAGGGGAGAGATGAGGGGGAAACAGGAGCATGTGGAACCGTGATCAGCTTTCGATTGAATGGCCAAGTATCAGGTGCATCTTCATCCTGGTTCATGAGGAGCAAACGACATACTCCATACATACTCCATACATACAATCAATAATGATGATTCTGTCTGGGGTTGCAGCACAGAGAGAGGAATTAATGAGACTCCGAATCTCCCAGCGCCCGTTTTCCGGATCACGCTACTCCAATATGGTTTAGCGCCCACTCTTTGCAGGCGAGCTCGACAATTGGATCCAATGAGAGCTGGCGGAGATGGTGACTCAGCTGTCCCGGCTCTTCCGCTTTCCAGCAATTGCCGAACGGTCCGGCAGCGAGGTTTCCCTTCCAATTGCCGATTTCTGCCCCCATCATGGATGAATTTCAATCCATCCCCAGATTCAGTTCCGCTCCTCACGAGTCACGGTCTCACCTGCCCATGGAGATCATCTCCTCAGACCTCCAAACCTACCCCGACGTCGCACCTTCCCCGTACAACCATACTGACACCATTTGTTCACAGATCCGTCGACTGTTCATTTAGTTTGCGATTTTCCACCAATTCCAACATGGCGCTTCACCTCCACTTTCGGGGATTGCGCCCAGCCCCTGCCTGGATTTGCATCAGATCCGGACCTTTCGGCAAGACATGATCCAGGACAAGCCGATATCCAGGTTGATGCGCTCTGCGAACCCTTACTGATCAGGACATTCCCCCCAGCGACGTCCAGCCTTCTGTGTGCAGTCAACACGGAGCTCGTACCAACCACTCAGAACTCAATTGGATAACAGTCTCACATGTTTCACAGATAGCAGACAATACGAGCAGGAGTGCGACCAGGCGTATCAGACTCATCACAGCAGCCAGCCAAGGATCAAGTCTCTGTCAGCAGCTACCACCCACCACCTGACGATGATATCGAATTGTCTCGCATCGGGTCAGTGTCAAAGCATAGATTCAAGCCTCGGTGTCCGGGCTAGCCGTCGCTTCCGTGCAGGCGAGATCAGCAAGACTGGCGGGCGTCATGCGGAGCAAGTAATGAGCAAGCGCTTCTGGTCTCGATCCTCATTTGACCTCGTGTGCCGGTGCCGGTTTAACCGTTGTGAATCCATTAGGTTCCTGTTGAGGCCGCGCATTCGACCTCTGGTCCAATTTCGTTTGGGCTTCAGAACGGATGTTCGACATGTCGGCATTAGACAGGCTGGCTAACCGAGAACAATAGGTATGGGATCGACCTTGCTACAGGCTCAAGACTCATGGATGACGTAGACGCTCGCATCAGGTTGAGCAACTGAGTTAGGCAGGTCCTTGCGTACTTCACTCAGGTACAAGTAGGATCTTGCGAGGATAGAATTGTTTATTTTCCCCGTAGGCTCTCCAGGGCACAAACTGTAAGGAACCTGAAACTATGACCTCTGACTGTCTTTCGTAACGTTCACCTCGAAGCCAGGCAACAATTCTCTTATTGTACAAGAACTGCTGCACATACCCATCACCTCAGCATACTCTATTCGGGATTGTATATCTATAGTAGTTAGTAGCTGGGATGACTACCGAAGCATTAAGCCAAATACAGTCTAGCGCAATCAAGACATCCAGGGCGGAAAAGACAGTTGAAGATGCAAACCAGATGCAAACCATCCATCCGTCGATGAGCTTCACCAATCTTAATTCTAGAAGTGGAAGCTCTGGATAGCTCGCATGGACTATACTTGAGACTCAATACCAACTTCAGTGGCTGTCGCCTGGCAAGGGCTGCCACTCATAAAAATGTTTTCACAACTATCACCGTCGCCAAGATCGGTGATGTCCCGACAATGTTCGAAGTTCATGCCGTTCCAGAGGTCCATTCGTACCGACACCAAAAACCCCAGACCAAAGATAGCTTTTGATGTCTACAAGGGACATCCCGATAAGCTTGGTGACTCACCCAACCCCATTATAGTTCTTCATGGATTCCTCGGCTGTAGAGAAGAACTCCGTCCGATTAGCAAGTATGGATGCTTTGGGCCTTTTTTCCCTCAATATGTTACGGGACGCTCACTAAATCCCTCCACCTAGAATCCTAGCCACCGAACTCAAGCGAGATGTGTATAACCTGGTAAGTGCTGATGTCACCGAGCCCTTCAGCTTCGTGCCCAGGCAATTGACGCCCGGGGAAACAGGACCTTCGTAACCATGGCGATTCTGGCACCAAATGGAGGCATGACTACCTCAGATTGGCGCTGGATGTCCGAGGACTCATGAAAGAGAACGGCCTTAAAAATGTGTCTCTCGTCGGCAATCAGATGTAAGCCTCACCAGTGGCTCATCTCACTCTTCGAAACAGAGTATATTTGCATCTCGTGATTACTGACGATCAGCCATCAGGGGAGCCAAGACAGCCATGACTTTAGCCCTCTACGACTCAAATCTCGTAACCAATATTGTCTCCATTGACAACTCGCCTGTTTGGAAACCCCTTCCGCCGGTTTACTTACAATGGCTCCACGCCTATCGGCAAATCCTCAAGATGCGCATTACCGAGCTCCGGGAAGCGCGCAGAGTCATGTACTATTGGAATCGGGTCAGTTACCTCTTCGTGCTCTCCAGTGGCGCCGGGACTGTCCTTCCTTCCTTTTTATCTTTTTTTAACTTCTGTTACATGTCCCCTTATCTAACCACTCCAAATAGAATGCAGGAATGAGACCTTGGCTCATGCGGAACCTGGAGAAGCACGGCGATCACCCCTATGTAAGGCCGCGGATTCCGCAGAATATTCTGTGGGAGGCCCGCGACGCCATGGGGGAATTTCCTTTCCGAGAAGACGATGCGAATAGGTTCAACGGGCCGGCGTTGTTCCTGCGCTCGCGTGATAGCTACTACATCCCCGAGGGCAAGGGGGCCGAAGCCATCCGCTCTTTCTTCCCTACCTCCTGTATCGAGGAAGTGGACTATGAGGGGCTGCACATGGCTCTGGAAAAGCCTGAGCTGGTTGCGAATGGTAGGTCATTCTGCTCGCTTTCACCCTCTTGTTATTGGGCTTCTGTCTTCTGTCTTCTGTCCGTTCTCTGGTTCTCTTATAATAGATTACGAAACCCAGACAGCTGACCACTCATGACCCTCCCACAGCGGCCGTTGAGTTTCTGCGGAACCCAATGGTGTATCTAGCCGACAGGAAGCTCGCGAAACACGGCGGGCCGAAAATGGCCTGGGAACTGTGAAAGCAGGCATCCATGCAAAACCACCAGAGATTATGACATAGTGCTTGGTCTTTGGCAGGTTGTTGCGTGGTTCACCAACTCTGCCCGGTGAAGACTGTAAGCTCCGCAGGTGGAACGTGGAGCGAGGGATAAGAATCCCTATCGCGTGGTATCAAATGGATGCGTACGGAGGATAGAATTGGCAGTGCTGGATAACTGCCAACATTGACCCATGGGGTATTGGCAGAAAGAAAACCTGGAAAGGTGGACATGGTAGAAGACTCAACTCAGAGTACTTTACTTGATCAGCGGTACAGTACCGTAGACAATTCATACCTAATCTGTTACATCGAGACAGGCTCATGTCCCACTGTACCTTTTCGATAGATCTCTCCTGAGCGACGCTCACCCCGACTCGCAGTTCTACTTAGAACTCTCTTTTTCAATTACCTCGTTCCACAACGGATAAAATTTCATAGAGGAAAGGTAGGAAACAATGCTATAGCAGGTATCCTAGGGCCCGATTCCATGTCCGTTACAAAGTATAGTACAGTACATAGCCTTCGTACGCTGCCCAGCTTCATAGATACCGAGCTGAAAGGATACATAAGCCACTTAGCGCATAATTCGAACAAGAACTGTAAAAGAAATTCGAAATAAAAGAGACGAAAAGAAAAAAAAAAAGGAAAAGAAAGAGAAAGCCATACATTACAATGTATCAAAAGATCTATCCCCCTTTAACACTCGCCCGGGTACGGTACTTCCGAATCGTAACCGGGACTTCGCCCCCATCGCTCCAAGAATACCTCTACCGTCCAAGATACCAAGCCTCCTCTTCAGAGAAATACCATGTCAGATAGCTAGAGTAGAGCCCTCAGCTCTGAATTTGAGGCCTACGGCGTAACAGCTCAAACACCCTGAGACAAAAGCAAGTTAGTTACCATGCCACTGAGGATTAGATTTCCTGCCTGCCCGAGGCGGACGAGCCGTTTCGCATCAACGCTACGGGGAAACCTAGTGGTGCCCGACGGATCTGAGCAACCTGACTGTTATGACAGCAAAGGGGGTTGATTGTCTTGAGACAATTGTATGTCCCCCTCAGGAGTTCAGTCCATACAAAGTGGGCCCACGCGATCGATTGTGTAACGCACGGTGGATAAGGTTTGGCCGGGCCGTCGGATCCCAGGTTTAGCGCGTCGCTTGGCGTCGTATGGGCGGTTCCACCCACCGCGCTGGGCACGTGCAGGGGGGAACCGGAAGAGGGGTGGGTTGGTGATCTATGCGCTTTTTTTTTTTTTCTTTTTGTAGTGGATATCATCTCTTTGAGGCGGAATTCTCAGCTACAGCAGAGGGTGGCATAGTTGTAAGGTCACCATAGTCAAGCTCTTCTGATTAAAGCTCTACTAGCGGGATACGGTCTTATTCTAACAATATCTGAGACTCATTTCTGTTATGTACTGGAGACAAGATATATGATGATCGGAGTGATAGGGCCGGTGTGGGCTTGACGCATAGGTACTCTCCCATCTTGTGGAGTTCGCACTCACTCAGGATCAGCGATCTTCAAGATGGCCTTTCCGCGGTTCCCGCCACGAAGCATCGAGACCAAGGCTTCGGGTCCGTTTTCGATTCCAGTCGTGATGTCTTCCTTCGTCTTGATACTGCCGTCGAGTAGCCACTGTAGCACAGCTGTCGTCAGAATCGGTCCTCATAAGTCAGTCAACTCACTTACCGCAGACACCCGCTCGTTTCTCTCCTTCGCATACTTCGGCCCCATATTCTCGTCTCCGACGATGAATCCCTGCATCCTGATTCTCTTTCCCACCACAAGCATTAAGTTCTTGACTCCAAAGGCCTCCTCGGGCTTCAAGTTGTATTGCGAGACCATGCCACAAGCAACTGCACGACGCGTCAGCGATGGGACCTAGAAAGTAGGAGGGTAGCCATACTAATCCTGCCGAAGGGATTCATGGCGTTGAGGGCCGCTTCCAGGTGCTCGCCACCAACGTTCTCGTAGTAGATGTCAATCCCGTTAGGTGCCAGTCGAGCCAGGGCGTCGCCGGGCTTCTCCTTCTTATAGTTGAATCCCGCATCAAAGCCCAACTCCTCAGTAATAAACCGCAGCTTATCATCGTCACCAACGCTGCCAATCACCTTCAAACCCTCATGTTTCGCCAGCTGGCCGACCACCTGTCCTACCGCGCCGGCAGCCGAGGAGATGAAGATGGTCTCGCCCTTCTTAGGCTGCCCGATCTCATACAGACTGGAATAAGCCGTCAGTCCCGTCATTCCAAGGATTCCGGCGTAATGCGACAGTGACAGTCCAGGCTTCACATCGATCTTCTGAGTCTGCGGCCATGCCAGCTCCTCCTTGGTGACAACACTGTACTCCTCGATCTTGAGGATACACCAGATGATATCACCCTTCTTATATTTGGGGTTCTCCGACCGAAGCACTTGCCCAATGCTGTAGGCGGTGATCGGCTCCCCAACCTGGTAAGGGGGGCTGTAGCTCTTGATGCTGGGGTCACGCATGCGACCGCGCATGTAGGGATCCAGACTGGCGTAGAGGTTTTTGGTGAGGACGCTGTCCGGAGGCAGCTGCTGGTCGAGGTCAATCTCCCGTTGTTCAACGGTGAGGTCGGTCCCCGGGACGGGCGCCCCGTTGGGGACTTTGCTGAGGATGAGGGCTTTGTTCGGTTGAGGCATTCTGGGAATCAGGATTTCGACAGGTGTCAGGTTTGGGTGTTGAGAGTAGTGGGGAGAACAGGGCGATCCTCGACTTATAAATCAAGACTGGAGCGGGAGGGGTAAATCGATGACGATAGCGGGACAATTGATCAACCTCGGCTGGTTGGTGGGGTATGGCCTGATTGATAATCCATTGTGTCACTCTTGCCGTATCATTGACCAAGCGGTCGTGCAGTTCAAGCTGTTAAGTGCTGTGATGAGATCGTGCCCTGAACAGGATTCAGTATTGACAGATCCAACAGTTGTGATTTGGTGGAGAATGAACGGAGCAAAACATAAATCCGAGGCGCTAGCTGGAACTGGAACAAGCACAGGTCGCTGGGTCGCTGGTGGGACACGCGGCGCTCATCTGACTTAAGTGAAGAAAGAGCTTCGAACTTGCTTTATTGAATTATTCTTATGACGCATTTCGTGCCTCGGGGCGACGAGCAAACCGCCCAACGAGCGGATGTGTCAAAGCGGTTTGAAGGTAGCCTTCAGTCGGGATCGGAGGGAGCCTGATTGACGCGATAGGAAGTGCGGGAGGTGAAAGGTCTTGAGCATTTCCACCCATGTTCGAGCGATGAAGAGGAAGGAAGTGGAAGAGAGGAAGAGCTTACTATCCTAAGACGACAGAATGAAGTGTAGCAGGTGAGGGAAGCGAAGTAGGAGCCGTGGTCACGGGTACGGTACAATTAAATGATTCTTCCCAATCCGGTAAGCTGTGCGGGAGCCACCCCCCACGTGGAGTTTGACCAATAATTGATTATCAAATCAATTGATCGCCGAATCCCGATGAGGTCACGGCCTGAAATCCTGATGATCCACTCTAGGTAGACTTGTAGTTAGGGACTCGCGACTCGCGAGTCTACAACTGCCCCTTGAAACCGCGTGTCATCGATCGGGCTTCCTTTTCATACCCGTGCATGTCTCGGCTCCAATTTCGCCCAATCATCTCCGAAAGGATGTTGTGCCGACCGGGACTCTCTCCATCAATGCCATGTTATAAATAGCCGTACTCACTACTGATCAGCATGATACTTATATCTGACATTCGTCAAACCGCGCAACGCGACCATTAGTCGGCCCTGCACAACATCCCATATATTTAACAAGCTCCCATTTGGTCTGCCACTACATCACCCATCCTCTGCCCACTGGACAAAGCCACTCCTCCCAGCCCAGCATTCTTTACAGAATGGCTGGCATACCGTGGACACCAGTCTATATCGCCTTTGCTGCATATGCCTACTTCAAAGCGACGTGGCAAACATTTTTTTACCTGTCCGCCTTGGCCACCATTGGCAGAGTTGTGTACCGAGTATTCCTCTATCCGGAATTCTTGACTCCTCTGAAGCAGATTCCGAGCCCGTCCGTGAGTTTCTCGGCATTTTCATGTGTACAGATCTCATCAATTTGAACCCGTTCTCACATGTGCCACTAGGGTCGATCATGGCTTCGTGGCAACTCTAGCACTTTGATCCTGAGGCATGACTGGAAGCGACTAGCTCAATGGCTAGAAGAAATCCCAAATGATGGTCTGATCCGCTACTATATGACTGGCAACCTGGAGCGATTGATCGTGACCAATCCCAAGGGACTCAGTGAGATTTTGGTGACCAAGGTCTATGATTTCGAAAAGCCAGCCTTGGTCCGGGAATCTCTGGGACGTCTCACCGGCCAAAAGGGGGTGCTGCTAGTAGAAGGTGCCGAGCACAAGGCAAGTGTCACAACAAGGGCTGAAATCACATGTCCTTGCCAAGCTGACTGAGAACAGCACCAAAGAAAGAATCTGATGCCGGCTTTTTCTTACCGTCACATTAAGAACCTGTATCCGATCTTCTGGACGAAAAGCATCGAGATGGTGCAATGCATTGAGGATGATCTACGCGCTCGTGAGGATTCTTCAGACAACGTGATTCGCGTGGCAACCTGGTCAAGTCGAGCCACACTCGACATCATCGGTCTGGCCGGAATGAACCGCGATTTCAACTCCCTGCGCGACCCCACCAATGAGCTGGCTAGACAGTACGGTAGGATTAACGGTGCGCCGCCTTCCAAACTGGAGCTGGGTCTTTTCCTTCTGGGCCTCGTGATGGGAGTACCAACATGGGTCCACAAACTGCCTTTGAAGAGGAACAAATATATCCGCGAGGGTGCCGAGTATATCCGCGCTGTCGCACTGCAGATGCTCCGTGAGGCGAAGGACCTGCGAGACCAAGAGCAAACCAGCAACGTGAAGGACGGGGTCGATATTATGTCCGTAGCACTCGAGAGCGGCAGCTTCACAGATGAGGAGCTTGTCGACCAAATGATGACCTTCCTTGCGGCCGGACACGAGACCACCTCGACCGCTCTCCAGTGGTGCATCTACGCACTGTGCAAGTACCCTGAGGTGCAAACCCGCCTCCGAGAAGAGATCCGTTCCAATCTACCCTCCATCTCCGTGGACAATCCAGAGTCTGTTTCAGCCGAGGTCCTCGATAATCTGCCCTACTTGCACGCCGTCTGCAATGAGGTTTTCCGCTTCCACGCCTCCGTCCCGGTTACCATCCGCGTGGCAAACCGTGACACCTCTCTCGTCGGCCAGCCTATCCCCAAAGGCACGCTCATCTTCCTGTTCCCCGCTATCATCAACCACCTCAAGGAACTGTGGGGCCCGGACGCCGATAAGTTCAACCCCGAGCGCTGGCTGGGACCCGGCATGGCCAATACCGGCGGAGCCACCAGTAATTACGCCTTCTTGACGTTCCTGCATGGGCCGCGGAGTTGCATTGGGCAGGGCTTTGCTAAATCCGAGTTGGCATGTATGCTCGCCGCCTTTGTCGGTCGCTTCAAGTTCGAGTTGGAAAAACCGGACGCTGAGCTCGAGCTCCGCGAGGGTGCAACTGTGAGTCCGCGGGACGGTGTGCGGGTCAGATTGACACCCTTGGAGGGGTGGTAGAGACTGCCGATAATGATCGCTACATTCTTGTATTAACTTCGGTGATGACATGTTACTTTTAATCTCGTTGCTACTAATTAGGTTAGACTGTTTGGATTGAAGACTCAAGCTTCTATGTACAGGAATGGAAAATGCTATGTGCTGTCTGACTATGTATAAGCTGCAAGTGATGATCGCCGTACAGGATTCGATCAGGTGCATAGTGATGAAGTATCTGCAGATAATGTCGCTGGGGTCTTCCGCCCGTGGTCCATTGTCTGCATCATTTGTGGTTGGCTTGGACAAGGGGAAGAGCGAATGCGAATGAACCGCCCTTCCGGAGACGGGATGATGAGAGCATCTTTATTGCATTGGGAATGCAATCGGTCAAACCCCGTATGAGCACTCTTCGGGGCGGAGGTATGCAAGCCCACGGTAGGGCTTTGTGTGACATGCACACTGGTCGATTTGGACTGGGATCGCCAGCCGCACCGCTTGTAATTTGCGGACCCGCACATGCAACATGCGCATGTGCCATGATCCTAGCGGACGTCTTCGCATCCCATCTCAGCGATCATTGACGAGGCTCCGAGAGGCTCATCTGCCTCACATTCAGATTGACACGTTTGCCCTCCATCCACCCCTTCCACTTCTCATACTGACTCGCGGTGGCGGCAGCCAGACCATCCGCCACGCCAGGCCAGTCCGCGAGCCAGGCCGGACACGTGCCCGGCACGATCTTCGGCACGGCATGCCAGGCGAACCGCGACGTGCCGTCCATGTACACCGCATCCCCGGAGCGCAGCCGGATGATCTCGCAGCCGGCGCCGTCATCATGGCTGATCAGGAACAAACCGTCACAGCCGAAGCTGATGCTGATGAGGCCGGCATCGCACTCCTCGCTGACGTCGCGGTGGGCGCTGAGCGTATCGCCGGGCGAGTACACGTTCAGGATCGCCGCCTGCGCCTCCGTCTCCGGGAACATGGTGTGCAGCAGCTTCGCGATGTCCGGCGGGAACGCCGGCGGCCGTTCCGCCGGATATACTTTGGCCGTCCAGTCGTACTGGCCGCCCAGCGTCACCCAGCGCAGTTTCTTGGTCAGGATGCTCTGCACGGCGAGCGGCTTGTGCACGCTGGGGTCTCTCGGGTGGATGACTCGCGCCGGGTCGTCGGCAAAGAAGGAGGGAGGACGAGGGTGAGGGTGAGGGGTGTCTTCTACGCTGGAATCGCTCGGCGAGGTAGCAGCAATAGTATCCCCGGCGCGGGGATACGTGAGCTCGTAGTGCAGGTGGAGGTTGGTCTTGTGTCTTGGGTTTGAGAGGTCGCGGTGGAAGAGGCGCGAGAGGAGTTCTATTTGTACGGCCGGTGGGAGGAGGGAGGGGATCATTTGGAGTCCTACATGCGCCCGTTAGGAGACCCGGATTATTCTTGTGTTCGTTTCTACAATAGATGCTTTTTTGGGCGGATCCCTCCCCTTCTTTCTTGCCCTGCTGAGTAGACAGAAGGGTGAAAAAGGGAGGGAGATAGAAAAAAAAAAGCGCTAGATGGTGGTGTATAATGCTGACCGGTCACAGAGCGATGAGAGAAGACAGGGATATCTTTCGCATCCAGGGATCCCTCCGCATCATCCTTGCTTGTCCCCAGAAATTCATCGAATACAGGCCGAAGATCCTTGCCAGGGATCCAATGCGAGAGTGATACATCCTCCGGGAGCCGGCCAGCGTCTAGCGCCTGAAGATCCAGAATGCTACCATCCGAGTTTATGTCTGCGAGCGTGGACTTTTGGTATTGCTTGTAGCGTTGCTTGACAGCCTCCGGGGGTCGCTCATGGGCGTTCAGGTCCTTTATTTGTGCCATGTCTTTTTTTGTTTCTGTCTCTGCTTTCTCGCCCTCCCCTGTGGGTTTGTTCCCTTCCTCGCGTGTAGTCGAACCAGATCTCTTGTGGACTTATAACTGCACTGCGTCACAAAGTTAGTCTCTTGAGGATCTGCAAGGCTGCACTATTGCATGTGTGCTGCTATGACAGTTCAGATCGCTTTTCGGAAATGCAAATCGATGGTTCACCCAGTCATAAAAGTTGAGAATAGCGAATCAGTGTCGCATAGAGGACAAGACTGTTTGTTTCCGCAAAGAAAAATCTCTATTCGTCGAAAAAAGGTAATAAAGAGCATACTGAGCAAAAGATTGAAAGCGTCTCCCCGAAAAAAAGTTTAGGGCGGGCATCAACTGGGGACGCGCTCACCGCCTTCGGGGCCACGCGCGGATTTTTGGGTTTGTTTGTGTACGGCGGCTACTGACCGCCTTTGGCTTCCCCACCAGCAGGGATGAATGAAAAGACGACAGTTCAGTCGATTCATTCCTCGCTACTCCAACAGGTAAGGTAAGTTCCAGGGTAAGTACGTAAGTAAAGTCGACATTCGATTGAAGTGCCAGGCCACACCAATTCGCTCCTCGACTCCCAGATCGGCTCCTTTCTTCCTATCCCTTCCAGCCCGTGCACCTCGAGAGGCCCTTCTCCCTCCCTCGCCGTTGCTTGACGCCAACCATTGTTTTCTCTTTCTTCCCTCCCCCGGCAACAGGAACGCCGTCGCCGTGCAGTGCAGTGCACACACACACTCCTGTTTCCTGTACCCCGCGTGTCGGTGGGCTTGACCACAGCTTGACGGTGTCTCACCTCTTGGGTTTCGAAATTATCGTTATAGAATCACTGTGTGGGAAACCAGTTTGTCGAACCGGGTCAATTTACTGCCAACAATGGAGAACTACCAGAAGATCGAGAAAATCGGAGAGGGTATGTGGCCCCTCAACTTGTCCTCATTCATACTTCTGCACCTTCAGCTTCTTAATTCGGTGGAGAATACTCCTACTGGGTCAATGTCTAATATTTCTGGTTGTGCAATGCAGGAACCTACGGTGTCGTTTACAAAGCCCGTGAGCTCACTCATCCCAACCGAATCGTCGCCCTGAAGAAGATCCGATTAGAGGCCGAGGATGAGGGTGTTCCCAGCACCGCTATCCGGGAGATCTCTCTGCTGAAGGAGATGAACGACCCCAACATTGTCCGACTGCTGAACATCGTGCACGCCGACGGCCACAAGCTCTACCTCGTCTTCGAGTTCCTCGACCTTGACCTGAAGAAATACATGGAAGCTCTGCCCGTGAGCGAGGGTGGACGTGGGAAGGCCCTGCCGGAAGGTTCTGCGCTGAGCAAGAACATGGGACTGGGCGATGCCATGGTCAAGAAGTTCATGGCTCAGCTGGTGGAAGGCATTCGCTACTGCCACAGCCACCGCATCCTGCACCGTGACCTCAAGCCTCAGAACCTGTTGATTGACCGCGACGGAAACCTCAAGCTGGCTGATTTCGGTCTGGCTCGGGCGTTTGGTGTGCCTCTCAGAACCTACACACATGAGGTATTGACTGATTCTCTGGACATGCCATGCTTTGACCTTCTAACCTTGAATTTTCTCTGATCAGGTTGTGACTCTATGGTATCGCTCCCCTGAGATCCTCCTGGGTGGCCGTCAATACTCCACTGGCGTTGATATGTGGTCCTGCGGTGCCATCTTTGCGGAGATGTGCACTCGTAAGCCGTTGTTCCCTGGTGACTCGGAGATCGACGAGATCTTCAAGATTTTCCGGTATGTCTGCCCCTCCCCAAAAAGCAGGACGTCATGACGTAGCTCAGTTGCTTACCATTCCCTCTGCAACAGTCTTCTCGGTACCCCTGACGAGGCCGCTTGGCCCGGAGTCACCTCTTTCCCCGACTTCAAAGCCACGTTCCCTAAGTGGAAGCGTGACGAAAGCCGTGCTCTGGTTCCTGGACTTGAGGAGGAAGGTCTGGACCTTCTCGATGCCTTTCTCGAGTACGATCCTGCCCGGCGTATCTCCGCCAAGCAGGCTTGCATGCACCCCTACTTCGCCAATGGCAGCTCATATTACTCCGGTCGCACCCGGACAACGACAAGGAACGGTTTCCACTAAATAAGCCGTGCCCGCACATTACCACGATCATGTTTCAGGCATGTATGCAATGCGGACGACCGTGGCAGGTGCAATGACGCACAGTGGCATGGACAGCACCGCGGTTTCTGCATCTATCCCCCTCAAGGCTGAGTCCTGTCCGCGTCGCTGCTACAGTCCGCTCTTTCCTCACATTTCTCATCATCGTTTTCTGCTTCTGTTACCATGGCGTTGTTTGTGGAGTGATCTGGCAGGAACGAGAATAGGTTACTGGATATCGCAAGGAGTATTTTGACTAACGCGTACATACCCATAATTGAGTAAATGGAGAAAAAGAAAGGAGGTCATTCTATAGCAGCAGTGACACTGAATGAACAAAGTTGTTCCTTGTTTCATCAATCATCAATTATCGAGATCTCTTATGAGTAATTCAGAGGAAGAAAGGGTGGGGGTTGTGCTCAACTGACAAGCTGATGATGGCACGGGGTGGTGCTCTTTCCATAGTCTCGAAACTCTCCCCTTCCTCAACTGCCTTACCTCCCCGTCGTCTCTCCTCTCCTCTGCCATCATATTACTACCACGAACGACAAACCTCTTGAACCTGACTACAGTTTCTTTTTCTCTGTTTTTTGACTAGCCCTGGTTACAGAATCCAGTCCGAGCCCCTATTGTGTCACACACGATGCGGTGCTATCCGAAGTGATAGACATGTGGCTTCCGATCTCCTGCATGGGTGCAAAGGCATGCCTGCGCTTGCAGCTGATTTACAGATCGTGGCTTGCTTGCTACACCGAAATGTATTCTTCCAAGGTACTTTCTCTAATGACATAAATCACAGTCAAAATCCAATGAAAACATGGAAAGGAGCGGTCAAAAACTCAGCCGAAATGAAAAGAGCAGTGAGATTCAGCCGCAGAAGGCTGAGTTTGCAGGTGCTATATTGCTTCCTCGTATCAGCCGGTTTTTGAGGAGGCTCAGCCAGAATGTCAACCCCTCCCCTTCATCAACCCAATCGGAATCATTTCATACCTTCTGGCATTCAAGATTCCAGCTTACGATGAACACATCTTGCATTTCGTCCTTGTTCATAGAAACCTACAATCCCCCGGCAGCTCCGAAAGGATCAGCACTTGCAAGCGAGATGCACTTGGACTGGACTCAGGGATGCACCAAGCCCACCCTCCTCATGCACGCTACCCGGACTAATGACCGTTTCTGTCCGTAACCACAACCCGGACATCGGACCATCATGAGCTGAAATCTTTCAATTATTCTGTTCCGTCAGCATCTTATGCTTAATGTCCCACGTTTTAGATTGGCCCGTCAAAATCCAAGTTAGCATCATTTTACTTTCTGCCGTGCTTACTGGAGGCCAAAAATCCAATGTGAAACGATCGGCGGCTCTGCTATTGAGCTCCCTTCGGCCTTATCAGTGGCCATTAATTTTAGAATGCCTGGTGCGCGTGGTTCAGCAATACGAGCGCTTGGTAAGCGCTCGGACCTGGCCTCGAACCATTCGACCGGTTCTCTTCCCCTGTCATGCAAGAGAAAGTTCCAATCATGCTTGGCTTGCCTTACGCTTTTTCCGGCCTGAGGCTGTGTGGAGACCCTCGTGGATTCAATTTGATATGGCCGACGACGACCAGCGGGCTTGGGCCGGGCCCTTATGGGGTTTATAAGAGTTCGGGCGGCCACCGGGTCTGGGGAACTGTTTCACCTTCGAACAACCTTGAGTGATCCATGCATTGGGCCCGCTTCTGCTCTTGTAAATCAATTTTGTTGATCTACTGCGCAAATGGATTGTGAAGACCATACCGATATGGCATATACTCCCCCGCTCTCGTCACGCTCCGGGAGCAGGATGCGAACGAAGACCCACCAACCGCCTCAGGAAACTGTCAAGCAATTTTGGGATGACTTCAACTCCAAGTTTCCCGGTCTGGTCAACACCGTATTGCCGGATAATCCGTATGCGCGCACGAAAGCTGCGAGGACACCCAAAGGGGTGATTCAAGCTCAGGTGGCCGGAAAGTCCTACGAACAAGCACGGAAAGAGTGTCAACGTTCAGTTGAGCGCATCGCTAGGGAATGCGAGCGGCTGAATCAGAAGTACTCTGATCCGCATTTCGACATCGCCGCCGATCTCAAGCGTGGAAGGAGGAACTATCTTGATGGACTCATGGACAAAAGCTTGGAGATGCGGCCAAGAGGCGTAAAGAGGGTCACGGTGAGTTTGGGAAACTGAAGCAGGCAAAGGTGAAGTGGTTACTCGAGTTATACTCATAGATTTTCCCATTATTAGGAAATCTTTGAGAAACCGCAGTTCTATGTCAACGGACCTACTGCTTCTGATGTACGCCAAGGTCGCGACGGTGACTGCTGGTTGATGGCTGCGTTGTGTACGATGGGCAACAAGCCTGGCTTGATTGAAGATGTCTGTGTTGCTCGAAATGAGAAGGTTGGAGTATACGGATTTGTGTTCTACAGAGGTGAGGCGACCCGGCTCGGCAGACTTGATGAAACACTGACATCCTGTAGATGGAGACTGGCAGCAATGTATTGTGGACGATAAGCTGTATCTGCGGGCAGCTGATTATGACGAATCCGTGGATGAGCGGCCAATCTGGGACGACATCAACAGGAAAGATACCGAAGAGGAGTACCGCAAAGCCTGGCAGACGGGCTCTCGAGCTTTGTACTTCGCTCAATGCGTGGATGAGAATGAGACATGGCTGCCCTTGCTCGAGAAAGCCTATGCCAAAGCCCATGGTGATTACTCTGCCATTGAGGGTGGATTTGTAGGGTAAGAAACATATACATTCCGCCTGGAGTGCAGTTGCTAATGTCTTCCGCATCACAGCGAGGCCCTTGAGGATCTGACCGGTGGAGTCACCTCGGATATACTCTCCAGTAACATCTTAGACAAAGATCGATTCTGGAATGAGGAGCTCATGAAGGTCAACAAGGAATTCCTCTTCGGCTGTGGCTGCGGTCTGTTCTCTAACTGGCTGGACCCGGGCTACCGAGGGCCTCCTAGAGACAGGAAGGGGATTTCGGAGAACCACTCCTATTCCATCATGGAGGCGCGGGAAGTCGACGGACAACGCTTGCTGCGACTACGGTAGGTGCTACTGATGTCTTCTTTGCAAGCGAGAATGCTAAATCGAAGCTAGAAACCCGTGGGGCAAAAAGGAATGGACTGGCGCTTGGAGCGACGGCTCTGAACAATGGACACCCGAGTGGATGGCGAAGTTAGGGCATAAATTTGGTAACGATGGGGTAGGCTTCTCAATTGCAATTCCAGTACTGAGACAGCGTAGCATGCTAACGAAATCGCAGTTCTTCTGGATCTCATATGACGACTTTCTCAAGAAGTACCAGCACTTCGACCGAACTCGCCTTTTCAATGATGACTGGACAGTTACTCAACAATGGACAACATTAAATGTTCCGTGGTCTGCCGACTATCACAACACCAAATTCGTCATCAACGTGAGCAAAGGTGGACCCGTCGTTATCGTTCTCTCGCAGGTATGCTCTGAATGGTTCTGTGCCCTTCTTCACTGTGTGATAGGTGACTGACTGGAACACTTAGCTCGACGACCGTTACTACAAAGGACTAGCCGGTGAATACGACTTCGTCCTCAAGTTCCGGCTGCAAAAGGAAGGCGAGGACGAATATTTCGTGCGCAGCCACAGCAGCGATCTCATGTACCGTGGCGTTAACGTCGAAGTCGACCTTGAGCCCGGCCGCTACCATGTCCTCATGAAAGTCACGGCCTACCGCGACAACGAGAAGATGCCCACCGAGGACGTGGTGCGCAGCCTTGCGCCCACCCGACGGGAGAAGCTGGTCCAGATCGGCCTCTCGTACGACCTGGCCCATGCGAAGGGCATCGTGCCCGAGACGGAGAACGAGAAACGAGCCCGCGAAGAGCGCGAAGAGCGGCAGCGGGCCGCCGAACGGAGGAAGCTCCGCGAGGAGACCAAGAAGCGACTGCAGAAGCAGTGGATCCGCGACCGCAAGCGCGAGGCACGACGACACAGACGCGAGGAGCGACTCGCCGAAGAGGCTGCGCGGGGGGCCTCCTGCCACAAGGATTCCGACGCGGCGGGACACACTTATGCTGACCATGATTATGACCATGTCTCCGAAGCAAAGGCAAAACCAACGGAGAACGGCTCGATCCCCACGATCCAGGTCAGCAGCTCTCATGTCGTCAACGGCCACGATCACCCGAGGGGCCGGGTCTCCCTCTCGATCCGCGACAAGCGCGCTCCGGTCCACACCTCCAACCCGGATCTGAAGTACCTCGAGGGGTTCGAGTTCGATTCCGATCTCGATATGCCCCCGGAGGAGCCGGCCGCGGAGCCAAGAACCCCCGCCCGTACCTTGTCGTGCAGTAGCGAGGTGGATGCAAACGGGGATCCGTGGAATGCCGTCTGCGTGGTGGGTTTGCGGGTCTACTCGAAGGACTCGGAGCTGTCGCTGGAGGTTCTCCGTCCTGTTCCCGAGGATGAAACGGAGGCGTGTCTGGACATGGATGATCCGGCCGTCAGTGCGACTTCAGAGAAACAGCCTCGGATTCTGTCTGGTATTTAAGGCATCGGGAGGTCGGGGTTGATTCGGTTGCTCAGTGCAGAGTAAGGGAGGCCTGAATTCTCTTATCGGTTTAATACTTCTCCAAAGAATAGATCCTTTCTCCCGAGCTTGTTCAAACAATTAATTTTCTCCATTCTTCTATATATGTAGCTCCTATCTCAATTTCCGAATCGATCATCGACCCAAACATTGCAGCCAAGACGATGCTCATTTCCCAGTAAGAAACCAAGAAGATTGATACGACGTATGAATGAATATATGGCGAAAGTTCCCCCACATACAAAGCCCCTGGAAGAGCATATACAAAAAAGCAAATCGACAATGCAAGGAAATCATATCCCACTCCCCCCGGACGAAAGATACCATACTCAACAGCTCACACCCTCTCCCACGTCTGGCCCCCCATAGCCACCAAGCGATTGAACAACTGATCCCTCGCCTTCATCCCAGTGACATGATACGTCTGGCCCTCCTCGGGCCCGCAGACCACCAACCCATCCACCGACTCTTTGCTCCCTGCCGCCAACTCCACGATCAACTTCCCCTTCCACCCCAGCCCTTCCGTCTTCCTGAGACCTCGGATTTGGGCGATGGGAATCTGGAACAGCACCGTCCCTTTCTTCTGGTGCTCGAGTCGGCGGTCGTCCAGGGTGGCGGAGTGGAGGGTGCTGAAGTAGAGGATTGGAGATGGGTTTAAATTCTCCCCGCTTTCTTCTTCTGGCTGAGCGGTTGAGGCCTCGTTTTTAGAGTGGATGGATGAGGGCGGGAAGGGGGAGGAGTCGATGACCAATGTGCCGCGCTTTCGCTCGAATTTCGCGTCGAAGGTGTCGGGGCCTGAAGTCTCCCATTCCCAATTGCGGCGGTGCATGGTGAGGAGGAGGCGTCTGGTGCCCTGGGTGGCGCCTGCAATTGCCATGGCCTGGTTGAATGCGGAGTGGCCTTTTGTGGCGAGCGTGATTGTCGTCCGGAGGATGCGAAGCAGGCGGGGGAAGAATCTCCTGCGCTTCGAGGTAGAGGGCTCGGAGGTGGATGTAGTGGTGGTGGTGGTAGCAGTGGCGGTTGTGGTGAGGCTGGTTGAGCTGGCCGCTGCTGCAGCAGTGGCTGTGATCTTGAGCTTGTCTTTGTAGGTTATCCAAGATGATATGGGGTTGCTGGAGTGAGGTTGTAGAGAGGATGGTGGGGAGGGGAGCGGGGTGTTGTTGGTTTCGCATAGTCGGAGGAGGGTAAGCGTTAGTTGAGCGTTGGTGGGGATGTCCTTTAGAATGGTTCTGAGTGGGTGGTGTCTGAATTAGCACGTCTGATGATGGCTGTTATCCACAGCATACTGTACGTACTCTCGTGGATCCAGGAATTTCTTCCAGTCGGGAATCTTCTCGTTAAGGTAGTTCATGGAGTACTGGTGCATGGGACCACCAAAGAAGATAAAGCCGAGGGTGAAGCTGTTGGCTCTGACAAGGAAGTCATTTGATACGATGGAGTTTAGCAGACAGATCACGAGAAGAACACCGACTAGTTGAATCTGCGCCGTCACAGAGGTGAAGGGCGGCGTCGGGGAAAGGGCGCTGCGTTATGGTCAGTTTGAACGTACTCATATTTCCAGAGTGCAGACCTCGTACTTCGAGAACATTTCATAGATGTCGGTGCCATCGCTGATGACACGCATCGCTTGGGTGGTGGCATTGGCGACCGCCTTTCTCATGGATTTCTTGGTCTCGTCCCCCATCACCGCAGTATCTGGGATGGTATTGACATCTGTGGTCGAGTCGGAAGCAAGCGTCTCTTCTAGACTGTCACCAGTGATTTCCTGGCCATGTCTGCTTGTCGCCGCTTTCACCGCAATCTTAGCAATGCTGTTCATGAGACTATTGGCTTCTTCCTCCGCAGCTTCGCCCTTGTGCTTGGTGGGTTGATCTGTAGCCTGCTGTGGCTGGGTCTTGGGCCCGTTGTCTTCGGGAACAAGACTAGGAAACAATAAGGGTCGTAGTGACGGAAAGAGAATCAAAGCAGCAAGAAAGAGGGAAATGGCGGGAACGAGGCTACCCCGAAACCATGCGATGAAATAGGTCTTGAATTTGTCAGTAGTCTGTAGGGCATTGATTCAAGCATAGGAAACGTACTGCACAAAAAACCGAGGTACGTCGGGGCTCATTCCACGACCGTAACCTGACGACATGAGTATAGAACGTGATCAGTCCTACACAAACAGAGATATAGAGTCTCTCCAGTGTAATTCGCACTTTCTCTGGCGGAAATTGTTCATCTTGGACGGAGTTGAGATCGAGGTCACCCGCACGTGGTTCAGACGTGGCTTGCAAATTGTATATTTGCTTGAAGTCATGAGTTGAGCATTGCACGTTCCATGGGTGTGAGTAAGCGTACCTTATTGAAGCGTCGGATCAATAACCACAGATCTTCATCTGGAACGCCAGGTACAAGGTCATCCTGGTTTGTTTTAGCGGAGGCTTCGGGCTGTACGCCTGCCATGTCACTGCGGCCGCCGGTTTCGGAGTCTCGACACTTGTATCGTCACCGAGTATTTTCTTTGAGTTCTGCCTTCTTGCCGTCTTGTTTGGTCCTTAGGATTGCACCTCAGTCGATATACTGTGGAATACGTTGAAATTATGTTGGCGCGCGGTCTAGGCATTCAGAAAGCCACAGGCAATCAATCAGGCGGGGGTGGATATCATTGACATCATTGGCTGAACCAGACGATCAGTGCATGCAGACAGTAGCAGGAACGGGATTTGGCAAGATTGCCTATCATGGTGGCAAAAAGGCCATGGTAAAGTAGTTGTTGAGGCCGATGTAAGGAGACCTGGCTATGAGTGTCTCTGTCTTTTGCCACAGTATCATATTCAGTAATACTGAGTAACATAGCCCACCCGATCAAGGTCTTCGCTGCTCTTTAGCGTCATCATTGGGGATCCCAGATACACAACTGACATATATCAGCGAATAGGCTTTGAGACCATTGAGATATGTCTGCATCGAGCTCCTCGTAGGATTGTATGATGTCGGTCTCTCCGAGGATACAGAATGGAGACGGCAATTATTCACCTCAGCTGGAGATAGAGCGAGGATGAGGGTGACTTCCGTATCAGGAAATGACCTCGGACCTGGGCTCATTTCCCAAAATGGTTAGCGTCTGGGGTCTTCCCTGTGGCTGCCGAACGAATCCCCATCAACAATGCTTACATGAATGATTTAATTCTCAACTCATCCTTTATCTTGCGCCAGGTGAAATTCAGGGTGCTATGCGCCACCTGTTATTCTCGCTGCCAGGGCTTGCCTCAGTGAGGAGCTACACCGCCGTCTTTGCGTGGCGACCTCGATCTACCCGTCCGTTCTGCAGAAGCGCGCAACTCGCGTCATCAACGTATAGCAACTATGCCGTTAATATCCCGGTAGGGAATAGTGGACAGATTACACTACAGTAAGGCCAACACCAACTAAGTCACGAATAGAACTCTCCGGAAAGCTGACTGTACGACACAGAATAACTCATCCAGATGAATTGCCGCTTCAGAACGGGAATGTGATTATCCATCTACCTCCAGGACCGTTGTTCACGCAACCTGAGATTGCCGAACGTGAGACATATGAAACCTCCAAGCAACGTGACCATGGCGCAGTCTTCTCTGGGAAAAGCGCCACCAGCTTGTCGCTGGCGCAAGATCTCGCATCTAGCAACCTCTCAACCATAGTAACCATTAATTATCGGCTGGGCTATTCTCCATTCCCATCTCGAGAACCACAGAAGCCCGCATCAAATTCTGTGGCAGATGCACCAACTAGCGCAGAACCAGCATCGCCAGAAAATGTTCTTCATCAATACCCAACCCCAGTACATGACACTCTCGCAGGCTTCGATTGGATCTACCAATACCTACGGCCGAAGCGCCTTGGAGTCATCGGCACGCACATCGGCGGCTCGCTAGCCATAATGCTTTCCCTTACAGAAGCACAATCCGTTCACGCTGTCGCAGCCCTCGAACCAGTCTGCGACTGGACTGGCCTCGACGAGCATTGTATACTTACTATGCCTGATGCCACAGAGTCGAGTCCGGCAACGATGTTGACGGCAGCCCCAGACGCCGCCGCCAAAGCCCGAAAGAAGCGAACCACAGCGGCCAGAAATAGTTCGACACCCACCGCACCGCACGACTTGATCCCTCTTCTCAAAGCCCGACGATTATACTTCACAGCTGCAGAACGATACTTCGATGCCTTCGCCTCCCCTATTCTCTTCCTCCGCTCCGCGGGGAAAGACGTTCCCCGTGTATTCCCCGAGTATCTGACCGGACCGGAGTACCCAATCCCCGTTCTGCAGCCGAAAACATCGCAGGAAATCTTCGAGGAAAGTATCTACAAATATTATCCCTCGTTATCGGACAGCAGTATGTCGGCATTATCTGCACACTCGGAGAGTCCAACCACATCACCCCCTCTGTCGCCCATGCTGGCATACCTCAGCCAGAAGGCCGCCGCCGCTGCTGCTGCTGCCGCCGCCACCGCTGAAGAAGACTCTATGGACGACGAGGAAACACACCAGACCGCCATCCGTCGCAGAAAATCGGTCTCGCGATGGCCGCCGTACGGACTCGATTACGGAATTAGCGGTCCGGCGGTGTTGAACCACCCGAACCGAGGAGTGAAGCGCTTGGATGTGACGCTACCGTGGGTGAGGGTATTCGCTCGCGGCCAGGCCGTCGAAAACACGGAGCGAGGAGTCCCGGCCCCGGCCTCGGTCAAGAAGATCTTAGCGAAGCGAAAATCCACCGCGGCTAGACGCAAAACTCACCCGGAGCGTGTCCTAGCGCAACAGGCGATCGATATGGTGGATACTATGCAGCGGGCTTGTTTTTGGGGTCGGGAGAAGGGGTTTGGGGAGAGCAGAGTCACGCTCGTGAGGGTTAAAGAGGAGACGTGGCCCACCTCTGCGGAGAGATATGCTGGGGAATGGCTGCGGGACGTGATGATGGAGATCGATAATGCTGAATCGTGATTTACCTCATGCATACCCACCGATAATCGGGACGGCGCTGGTATCTTGGGTCATTGATGGGCCTCAAGAGATTATGGACCCAAGAAAGTCTACCACTGATTAAGTCGCCTATTCATTGGTGAGAGATCAACATCAGAACATGCACATGTCATAGCTTTTGTTTCTCGCAGAATACAGTCCGAGTGAGAAGAATCAATGCACACATTAATCTGAGGCCGGGGTGGCGCTGCAACGCTAATTCAAACCAGTGGTACCTCGGCAGCCTTGAGTGCCTCGTTCTGGACCACCTCGACCCAGTATCCATCCGGGTCGAGGACGAAAGCCACATTCCTCATGCGGCCATCCGTAAGACGCTTTTTCCAGTTGACATTCAACTTCTCGAAGCGGTCACAAGCGGCATTCAAGTCATCAACGGAGACACCTTGGAGCAGGCAACCATTAGTAACCATTCGCCGGTAGAATTTCGGGCAGACGGAGACTTACAGATGTGACCGAAGCCCTGAGGCTCGGTGTTGCCGTTGTGGTAGACCGGACCCTCCTGTTTCTCGGTGCCGTAGTTCCAGGTGAGCTCGAGGAGGCCCTCCCACTCGGCGACGGGGTTCTTGGCGTCCTTCTTGAGCTCCGGGTTAGAGGCGGGGTAGCCGAGGAAGTAGAGGTTGAAGCCGGCGTCCTTGTTCTCGCTGGTGCGCAGCAGGGTCAGGCCCAGGACCTCCTGGTACCACCGGAGGCTGGCCTCGGCGTCCTTGACGCGGAGCATGGTGTGGTTGAAGCGATAGCTGGCGGGGTCGGTGGTGGTGCCGCGGTCCTCCTCGTGACGGCGGATGATCTCGACCCAGTACCCGTCGGGGTCCCGGACGAAGGCGATGTGGCGCATGCGGCCCTCGGTCAGCTTCTTCTGGAACGGGTACCCGGCCTCCTCCAGGCGCCGGCAGGCCTGCTCGATGTTGTCGACGGAGATGGCGATGTGCCCGAACCCCCGGTGCGGCTCCGTGTTGCCATTCGCCACGCTGTAGTTGGGGTCCTCCTCCGTGCCGTGGTTGTGCGTCAGCTCCAGCACCCCGTTCCGGTCGGTGAAGTGGCTCGCGCCCCCCTGCAGCGACTGCGGCCCGTTGTACCCCAGGAAGTACAGCGAGAACTTGTTCTCCGGGAAATCAAGCCGTTGCAGCTGGTTCAGACCCAGGAACTGATAGAATTCCACTAGGGAGACAAGCTCATTAGCCAATACTGCGCTATCGTTTTGGGCTGGAAGGGGGGGCCGGGGTAACAGCAAAATCACGTACGGGATTTCTTCGGGTCCTTGACCCGGATCATGGTGTCTATGGGTTTTCAACCGCCATGACGTCCGGTTAGTCTGTTGTTTCCAATGTCTGTGATAAGGGTCGCGCAGGCCACTACTAACGGTGAAGCTTATATTTGGAAGTATCGGTGGCCATGGTTGCGAGTGATCGGCTGGTTCCTGCAATGATCCCGGACCGGTTAGCATGATTAGCTTGGAGTGAAGTGGGGTTATTGTTCAGATAGTGTGACAGTCCAGCTTTAAGCTTCGGAGATGGATGGGAGATCCGTACCAGGCACAAGGGGGAATCTAGGAATGAGGACCCGGGAGAAAGAGGAGCGGAAGAATGGAAGGGAGAACATGAATGGAGGGGAGGAAGTTCAGGAAGAGGGGTAGACAAGAAGACAGACGTTCAAGTAATGAGGAGAAAAAAAGGTGGGGTTTCCGTGTATGACGCTATCTTATTAATCCACTCCCATGATTAGTGAACTCAAATATGAAGCTATCGCAATAAGTAATCATGGAAATGTGTAGATGGTCTGATGAAGTGCTAGGTAGATATTTTTGGACTCCGAGGAGCTGTGTTTGCCAGTAGTTTAAAACATGGTAACTTGGAGGGTGTAGAAAGTCAACAAAGTACGAAGTACTCCCTCCGTAGGTGATTCTTAGATACTGAGAATGGTGTAAGTTAGGTGGTAGATCCTCTAACAATGAGCATCTCAAGCAGAAGAAGATGCTAAAATGATCTCTTTCTTGTTAGAAGCAACTCTTAGTGCATCAATTGATCTCAATTGACCAGTACAATCAGGATAATGTGCCATGGCAGCGAAGTATTCTTCGAGCTTCTCTTGATAGCTGACAAGGCGGTGACCAAAGGCGGACAGCTTTCCCCCCACAATAGGGATGATTCTGCCGGCTGTGTCTCTAGTCTCTAGTCTGTCGGTCTGTCGGCTTCGACCTTCTCCACCATCACCTCCTCCTCCTCCTCCTCCTCCTCCTCCTCCTCCCTCCTTCAACTCAATCCCAAGCCATTGCGGTGCACAACTCTTTGCATTCCCCTGTCTGTATTGGCGTGAACTCATCAGATACATCACAATAAGGTTTGTGGCTCTGCTCTGCTCTTCATTGCCCTTCTCCCGTCTCTCTCCGTTTGCCTTATCGAATCCTCTGGGATCATCCTTTGCCAGATGATCATCGCATATGCGGCAGACGTTGGTTCTCATGCTTGTTGGCCACCTGAACAGCCACGCCCCTAAACTTTCTTCCTTTTTCTTTCTGTCTTCTCGCTTGTCTTTGCCTTGCCTACGATGATGCTGCTTCGTGTTCTCGCGTTTGCCTGCTATGCTGGCCATGCACCCGGGGCCGTCATTCCTCCCTGAGACATGCGCCCCCCCCGCGGCTCACTTCCCCGGGTTCTGGAACGTCATTGCGCACCGACCGGCTGCTTTATGACTACCATGATGTTCTATTTGCAAATAAAGCCTGGGCCTACCCACGAGCTGTTTGCCTAGTGTCAGCCTGGAGCGAACCAGAGCATCTTGTATCCCTCGCATATCACTTGTACCACCCCCCAGAGCCTTGTCCCCCAAAACATCGAATCTGTCTCTTCACAACCATAGCGCGCTGGGTTTGAACAACAACCTCGTCTCTTTCTGTTACATCCATCCCCAATAGCAATTCTGTTCCATCACTGCTCCAGAGAAATCATGGCTGAATCCAAGCAACCAGTCCGACCGGACTACCCTAGTCAGAAGCCCAGCGCTTTCCCCGAACCCCCGTACCGTCCATATTGGGAACGAAGCCCAATCCAATACGCTCACGATCTCCTTGGATACTCGGAGGACCCGATAGAATACGACCACAACGACCGCGACTATTGGGACAACTGCTTCTTCTTCCCGGAGGACTGTTCTTGGTCCCCGCCGAAAGACTGGACCATCGAGGAACATATCAGCAGTAGCAGCAGCAACACCGCACCAGAAGCTTGCCACGAGCAGTCCACGGACGACACAATCGCCATGATTCCCGGACTTCCCGATATCAAGATGTTAGATGCAGAGGCCCTGAGTGACCTGCTAGAAGACAACCTCTCACCCCCCGAAATCACGTCGATAATGTGTGTACATACATCCGTCCGCTGCAAGAAACCTACCGCCAATAGGCACCAGCTAACCACACATACTAACCAGAGTCTTTTCTACCAACGGTGCCATCTTCGCCTACGCCTCCACTCTCTCATCCCGCCAACTCCGTAATCTAAGCGCCACCTACGGCGCAGCCTATACCTGTTACGCAAAGAATGCCTCAACGGGCAACCTCACCGGCGTGAACCCCGCCAGCCATCCGTCGTCATACGTGACCACTCCCTCCGTATCCCTCGGCGACGTCGGATCGATTGTCTTTGAGCTCGACGACTCGGTAGCCGTCGTCACCCCCATAGCCGACAAGGTCCTCCTGGCCGCCATCGGACCCTCCAATTTGGGCAGCAACAGCGCCCAGGATGCATCCGCCAGCACCACGAACGGTCACACACACGCAACCCCGAACGGCTCCACGCACCACAGCCACCACAACCACCACCATGCATCAGGCGCAAACACCCCCGACTCCACCTCCAACAACACCCACAATGTCCGCACCTACGCCAGCGTTGTATCATCCAACGCCGGGGGCAGCAGAAGTAACGGCGCCAGCGCGTCAGGTGGTGGCGGCGGCGGCGGCGGCGGTGACACAAGCGACTCGCAAACAGACTCGCACCTCGAGACCCAATACGAGATCGACCGCAGCAGCGACCTTGCCCGTCTCGCCACGCTGAACCTCTCCGCTTCCCCGGAGATCCTTCTCGCCCTGGAGTCCAAATCCGCCGCCCTGGGTCGGTTCCTAAGCCAGAAGCTAGAAGACCTAGAAAGTCCGGAGGACTTCTAGAGCCCGTCGCCGCTCCCATGTCCACCTCCCCTGCCCCGTTTTGCTGCTGCCGCTGTATGCCTGATGGTCTTCCATACCACCATCCCAGAAATCCAGCTGCCCACTCAACCCTCTATCCCAAACTCTGAATTCACATCTGGCCTGGCAAGCTAGGCACCTAACATATTGACCTGAATCTCTAACCCTCTATCTTTCTTCCATTCTCTCTGAGCGGGCTCTTGATATATCGTCGTCGCCATTCATCACCATCACCATCACCAACACCATTATCCCTTCTCTCCGCTGATACTGTCATCGACCATTTGGACACAGATCGGGCTTTGCGTGACATGACTTCCAGCATGTGTATTCTCTTCTGCACTTTTTATTTATCTATTGTGCCCTTGAAGCGTCTTCCGTTCATAACTATTTTTGCTGTTCAAATACCATCAAGTCCATGAATCAATTGATTACAATTTTTTCACCTTTCTGTCCTGTTCACGACGAAGGAAATGTTACAGTGCCTGGTACACAGAATAAAGGTATCGCTTGTCATCAAGCGGACCAACACATTCCAGCTTTCATTAGCCAAACTAGCATCAATAGCACTAGCATCCAAGGTTCAATACATTAGAGATCAGTGTTGCAGAGCAGCGGCTTGTCGCTAGGTGAGTACAATCAAGCTACGCCCCGTGGCAAATTAGTGGGAAATGAGGAGAAAGATATAAGACTCGAAGCTCAGGCAAAGGATAACATAGGAGGCCACAAGTCATTTGGTCCTTTGAGAGAGCAACATAATTCACCGCTGAATCCGAGCGAAAATAGAAAGCAGCCGACTGTGCATAGATCCAAGGAGAAAATCCAACTAACTACATTAACAGACCACTTAGGCAGTCTTCTCAACAGTAGGGGAAGGAGCTTGGGCACCGGCCGCAGTAGCAGTGGTGTTGACGGTGGGCAAAGTGCCGGTACCGCTGGTATCGGTGCGGGTGATACCGGCGGGCCCAGCGCTGGTGGGAGCTGCGCTGGCAGGGGTGATGGGGGTCCGGGCTTGGGTGGCGCCGCCGGCGGAAGCAGCCTCCTTCTCAGCGTAGGCGGGGGGCTGATTCGTGTCGATGGGGGTGGGGTTGATCGGCGACGTGGCGGTGCTGCTGCTAGTGTGCGCCGGGCCACGAGTAGCGTCTTTGATGATGGTCCACCATTTCTCGGCCTCGTTCGGGTTGGTGGCCTTGAAGCTCAACTCGGTGTTGGTGTGGAAGGCATTTCCGACCTTGCCTCCAGAGACGTCCTTGCCCTTGACGTTGAACTTGACGCCGTCGATGGCACCAATGACGCAGTCGGGGAGGTAGAGGGAAAGTTCAGGGTGCGGGTCCTTGCGAAGGTCATCGTTGTCCTTGAACTCGTGCAGATAACGAGCGGGGGTCACAACGTAATAGCCGCTGCTGTAGCCCTTAAGCATGGCGCGGGACTTGCGCTCAAGGAGGCCCTCAATGAGGGGTTTGGTGGCACGGTGGTCCTGATTGGGGAAAGTGATATTGGCGAGAGATCTCGGAGGGGCGTCAGGGTTGACGAGAATATGATCGTTTCGGGTCATGAAGTTGACCCATTCGAAGTCAGGCGGAACGCGCTGTGCAGAGGCAAGGATGTCGCTGTACATGGTCCGGTGGCGGTCGAGCTGGGTAGTCATGTAGACGGTGAACTGCTCCATGGCGGCCTGGACGGTTTGCAGGACATGAGCCTCGAACTGCTGGAAGTTGTTCTGCACCGCAATAATGTCTTGACGATTGTTATTCTCCTCAATGACCTGCTTGTTCAGGCGATGAACAACACCCCGACGCAAGATGTAAGGGTCGTGCGCTGTGTCGATCTTGTTACCGTGGGCCGCATCCAGCGTGGCCGTGTGCTGGGCGAGCAATTCGATATGCTTTTGAGTGACTCCCCGGGCCTTATCGACAGCCTTAGCACCCTTCGCAGCTCCACCCTGGAGCTCTTTGGACTTGGCCTTAATCTCCTTGTGAAGGCGCTCAAGCGTCGGAAGTACGGACCCCTTCAGGTTCTTTTCCGAGTCGAGATACAAGTTCACCATGCCCTGCAGATCTCTTAGCAGCTGTAGTTGAGGCGACACGATTCCACGTTCTGGCAGCATACCTGAGTGTTGGACCTGACGTTCTCGAACCACGACGCAACTCCACCCACACTCTGGGAGAAGTGGTGCCCTTCCCGGAGCGGCTCATTGACAGTCTGCGCAATAATTGCCTCTCAATCAGCATCCGACGCCACACAGTTTTCAGGCATAGGCGAAAGTCCCAGCTTCGCGCACCTTCAAGACCTTCTCGAAATCCTTCGCCTGCGACTTCGAGATCTTGGCAGTTGTCGAAACATAGTCCTCCAGGTATCCGCACATGTGCTTCCAAGCTCGAAGACGTTCCAGGAGAAGGTTGGTGGTCTGATGAGCAGAAATAACAATTAGCATCATTGGTAAGCGACAGGTCCTCGGGGTTTGCGAAGGACAATGTCTTATCGCGGCATACCTCATTGCTATCGGAGTCGGGAATGGCCTCGTCGTCACTGCCCGAGGTGCGGCGGGTCATGGTGCTCCCGATAGTCGCCGTACGCTGCGGGAGCTTTTGCTCGATGGGACTGGTTGGGGTCGACATTGCTGCTGCGATTCAGGTTGAACAATGGGTAGGGTTCGCAAACACCTGGTGGTCGGAGCGGTCGAGTCGATCGAGGGCAAAGATGACAGGTAAAGGGAAAAATGTCGCTGCAGCAGATGCGCAGGCGTGGAGGAGCCGGAAGCGCGATCGGGGACTAGTATGATTAGGGGGGGGGGCTTGTCTTCGTCGAGTTCCACGCTGAAGCGGAGGTGGGGCTCTCCTCTGGTAAGGGACGGGAATAGGAACTGCGAATGTCAGTCTCGGCTTCCGGAGGATGACGACGACGGATGGAGAAAGGAAAGGGGGAACAGGATTGGGAAATAAAAATAGAGTAAAATAACATACAGTGCAGTCAGTCTCTTCTTATACGCAGAGATGAGGTTAAGAAGCAGAGGATCAAGAGCATAGAAGAGGGGTAGAAGGCGAGTTTATGAACAGCTCGTCGGTTCGTTGAGAAGAAAGGGGATCGACCGATGAAGTCACCGCCCATGATGGCGCCTGTCGGATGTCGTCGACCCCTCCTTCATTTTTCTTTTGACTTTTCTTTCTCGCTAAGCTTGGACTGTGCTGTACTGCCTGTACCTCAGCCAGTCCGGACTGGCAGCTCAATTCAGTTGGGCCATCATGGAGATGCAGCTGAGAAAGCCCAGAGATGCATCAGGAACAGGTCTGCAAGCAAACATGCCAATTGCAGCATCTCCAGTGCAATGGAGATGCCCGAATCCGGCCCCACTTATTCATCACTCATCATTCACCTTTCCAAATCGGGCCGGCAAAGACTGCCGCCGGCGCCCGCACCGCCACCCCATCCCCAAAATGATATCATCCCTACCTTTGCATTGCAGCTGAGGCATACAAAGAGCACTCTATACAAACAACCTTGAAATATCTTTTATTAAATGTCATTATTTGATTGGGATAAAGCCATGATGATAAAATATGTAGTCCCATGGTGTCTTTTTTTATGCTTTTAAATACATAATGCAGATATCATATGAACTGCTGCTGCTGATCGTGACCGTAACTCGTAAGGTACTCGTCTTCCGAAGAAGATCCAGAGAAGAGATCCAGAGGTGAAGGCGCAAAGAGAAGAGAAGCAAAGAAGAGATAACGCCAGGTTCTTGTCCGTAATGTCCCAGTCCTTCTATTATTTATTTGCAAACGCCATATATTCCATCTTCCTATCCTTGCGCGCCAGTCCAACCATGCAACATGTGTTTCAGAAGTAACCGTCGTGGGAAGATGCTGTAGTCAAGAGACGGTATGTGCGGATTGTATTTCGATGACATGAGCTAGGGTGTAATGCGATGTTTAAAAAGACGTCCCGCGTCCATTCGTGGTGGATAATTATGTGCGGTTGTAGTATGTTTGGTGATAAGCGGGGGGGGGGGGCCGGCCACGCCCAGAATCGTAGTTTTTGCGTGTCTCGTCATGATTTGGAAAAAAGCAGATTGGGTCGTTGATCACAGGCGACCTGGGTTTACCGGGCGCGAGCTTGAACGAGACGCAAGCGTCGGTCATCATCGTCGTGATGGGGAGCACGAGCGCCGAGAAAGCCAGTACGAGTCTGAAGGGAGTCCAAAGAAGGCAGGTATGTGTTGCTCCCACGGCTGCGGATGTAAGCCTGCTGGGGGGACTGGGGAGTGGAAGAGACAACGTCCTCGGCGATCACCGCTTGATAATCCGGCAGCCCAGAGTCGCACGGGCGCACACTGGTACGAACGGCTGTAGAGTAACTCGGGACACGGCTGAGGGTCTCGACCTCGGCGTACTGGGGATGGTAGGGAGTAGCCATGCCGGAGTGAATAGGGTCGTGATCAATGACTTCATCCGAGGGGCGTCGGGAAAGCTCGGGACTTGCGGGACTGTGGGAATTTGAACCCGAGCCCCCCGAAGGAGGACCGAAGTAATCGGGAGGTACACCAAGACGGCGGGTTTCAGGATCTGAGTGATGTTCGTGTTCAGGTGGCGAGGGGTGGTTGTGCAGGTTGGCACGAAGGCTTGACAGACGGCTATGCAAGGCAGACGCTGAGATGTCCGTGTTGGTCAACGCATTCATCGAAGCAAGATTTTCGACAGAGATGTTGCGGCTAAGGGCTCCGAAAGGAGTGCCAGGACCACTTCCCGGTCCCGGTGTTCGGTAACCCGAAGGATCAAGTTCACTGTACAACTGATCGAACTGGTGCTCGCCATACAAGGGAGGAGCTTGGTGAGCGATGTCGCTGATTGCTCTTTGTGCGGACTGAGGGGTCTGATCGATCAGGTTGTTGTTTTCATCGATGGCGAGGTTAGGGGAAATGAAGATAGAGACGGGGAGTGTGGCGCGGAGCTGCTAAAGATTAGAAGGAGATTTGTGAGAATTGGGAAAAGAAAGATGCGTACCTCGCTGACATGACCATCGGGGTTGAGGAGCTGAACACGAAACTTGAGCTTATGGCGGATCTTGATGCCCCGGGTGTCTGTATCCTGCAAGCAGCGAGCCAAAGTCTTCGGGAGGTCCAGATAACGTGTGAACTGGTATCCTTCAGCCATCTCGTCGATGACATCGAGGCCATTCTCTTCGTCAACTTCATGCTCGTCAT